ATTATATTATTATGAAAAAATCTTTACAGTAAGTACATGCATTTTGCATCGCGTATGTGTGTGTGTATCTATGTATGGTACGACTAGTACGTTTTGCCACTATGTTTGTATGGTGTATATATATATATATATATATATATATATATATATATATATATATATATATGTACTGCTGTGCAAAGGTTTGTGAACCCCTAAGATAATATTTTAAATAACTGCCTCTTTTTCCCAGATGAACAACAAATCTTAATCAAACTATATATATTCTATAAGAAAAACCTTTATTAAATAAATTACAATAACTTTCAATTTTTTTTATCAAGCTGAATAAAATAATTAATTAAATATAAAAAAATAAGATGTGCCAAAAGTAAGTGAACCCTTATATTTATATATATTATGTATTGTTGTCTTACTTGGTTGTCAGTGCAAATAATTTATTGAGCATGTATAAAATTCAAAATGGCTCTTATTCAATTTTTGTTAATATATATATATATATATATATATATATATATATATATATATATATATATATATGCGATGCAATGAGAACGAAAATAATATATAAATTCTAACTTTCACAGTATTAATCCAAAAGAGGGCGCGGTATTGATAGTAGAGTAATAATTATTTATACTATTTTTTTTTTCCTTTAGACAAAAAAAGTTTACTCACTACAAGGATGCAACTTCGTTTCAGTGCATTTCAATTGCACCTCGACTGATGAGAATGGCAACCAATTCTGTTTCTCACTAGTCGAAGTCCAATCTAAATGCACCGAAACGAAGTTGCCTTATGTCCGAGCGTCGACCTGGGGGGGGGGGGTCAACGGCCAATCCTCCGTCCTCACCAAATAGTGGGCTTGGGAGATATGCTTTCAATAAGATTTGGAACAGGAGAAACAAACGGCGAGAACAATTCCAAGTTCAGACAATATATCAAGCAAAAAGATACGGTCACAACATCATGGGAATACTGACGAGACACCTTCGCATCTAGCCAAAGACATTTAATTTTCCATTTTTCCTCATTTTTCTTTCGAACCGAGATTTCTTACTAAACTATCAAATAAGGGAGAATCATTGGGACAAAATGTCTTACTATGGTAGAGCACATTGACGAGTAGGGGGAGAAAAAAATAAAAAAAAAAATAGAAAAATGTAAATGGGTTTCTGCTAGAGCGAAACTATACTCACACGGTTGTCTGCTTTCTTCCTCATGATGGTATATATATATATATATATATATATATATATATATATATATATAGATAGATAGATAGATAGATAGATAGATAGATAGATGCGTGTGTGTTTGTGTGCGTGTTTACATTTTTTCTATATGTACAATATATATTTATTATATCTATCTATCTATCTATCTATCTATCTATCTATCTATCTGTTTGTCTGTTTATCTGTCTATATATCTATATCTATATATATATATCTGTGTGTGTGAATGTGTTTGTGTGTGCCTTCCTATGCATGCAGATAATAAGATATTTTTTTTTAAATTGCTTCTTTTTTCCAGATAATGAATGAACTGATCTTAATTAAACTATATATTTACTAAGAAAATACTTTATTAAACAATTGCAACAACTTGCAAATGTGTCTATCAGGCTGGAATAAAAATATTAATTCAAAAATTAAAAAGTAAATGACATTTAAACTTTATTTTGGTTCTACATGGTTGCAAGTGCAAATAATTTTGTGTGCACGTGTAAAAATGAAAATAGCAGGTGTTATATTTTTCATATTTTTTCGTAAACTTCAGTCAATCAATAGCTCATTGCGTATGTATAAGGCAGAAGTTAGAAACTAATTTTTTAAACATATGCCAAACACAAAGGAACTAACTGAAGCTTTAAAAAATCACATAGTTGAATCCTATAACGATGGAGAAGGCTACAAATAGCTATCAAAATAATTTGGAGTTAAATTCTTCACCAGGCAAAAAAATTATTTATTGATGGAAGGCCTTTGGTATCACAAACATAAAATGGCCGACCGCGAAAAATAACAACAAAAGCAAGTAAACATCTAGTTCGCCAAGCCCAGTCAAATCTTGCCGTGACCTTTGAGGTTCTCCAGTGCTGACTGTGCAATGTTGAAATCATCTCCAGTGCTACAAAATCTGAACAATGCCGATTTTCAAGACAGAATACCTAGAAACATCCACTGCTTACGAAACTGCCCAAGCACGCTCGCCTTATCTATGCCAAGCCTTATCTATGCCAAGCCTTATCTATGCCAAAGCTTATCTATGCCAAGCCTTATCTATGCCAAAGCTCATATTAAAAAAGTTAGAAACATTCTGGCAAAAGTATTATGGTCGGATCAGTCCAAAGTAGACCTTTTGGCCAGGAAGAATAGTTGGTATAACTAGTGATCCCCTAAAACGGCTTTTGAAGAGAAGAATTTCATACAAACCATTAAACACAGCGGTGACAGCATCATGATTTGGGAGTGCTTTGCGGCAGTTGTAATAGATCAAAATAGTATGCATTGACGGCACAATGGACCCTGAAAGATACCAAGTAATTTTGAGCGGAAGTGATTTGTCCTTTGTTCAAAAGTTGGATTTAGATCGGGACTGGAACTTCCAGTATGACAATGAGCTGAAGCATCAAAGCAAAACAAAAAGAAGAATGTTCAAATGTTGGAATGTTCTAATCAAAGCCTTGGTCTAAGCCCAATTCAAACTGGTCTAAGCCCAATTCAAACCGGTCTAAGCCCAATTCAGACTGGTCTAAGCCCAATTCAGTCTGGCCTAAGTCCAATTCAAACTGGTCTGAGCCCAATTCAAACTGGTCTAAGCCCAATTCAAACTGGCCTGAGCCCAATTCAGTCTGGTCTAAGCCCAATTTAAAACTGGTCTAAGCCCAATTCAAATTGGTCTAAGCCCAATTCAAACTGGTCTAAGCCCAATTCAGTCTGGTCTAAGCCCAATTCAGTCTGGTCTAAGCCAAATTCAGTCTAGTCTAAGCCCAATTCAAAATGGTCTAAGCCCAATTCAAAATCCGTGATTCAAGTGAAAGAAGGTAGTCCATGCAAGAAACCCACGTAAAATCCAGCAATTGGGTGAATTTTTCCAAGAAGAATGGTCAAATATTGGTACTCATTACTGCGGGAAACTTCTTCAACATTAAAGAAAAAGACTGTTTGACATTATAACCTCAAAAAGAGAAGTCACCAAATATTAAATGGAAAAGTTCACTTACTTTTTCACATCTTGATTTTTAATTTGGAAGTATTATTTTTATTTCAGCGTAATAAAAGTTTTAAAGTTTTTGTAATTAATTTAATAAAGTTTTTTTTTTATCTGACCGTTAAGTAGATTTTCCGTGAATATGGCATGAACTATATTGTTCAATAATTACAGTAATAACGCCATATTCACGGAAAATCTACCAGTAAAAAAGAATTCTCTTATTACTATATTTGTACAAAAACGCACAACCTTAAAATTTAAATTCAAACTCAGCGTTGCGACCGCAGGTTCCAAAACAATAACACATTTCTCATAGCATTTTTTCGGATTACATCTCTATTTTCGTTGTCCTCTTATTACCGAGAAGTAAAAACAAGAACAAAATCTACTTCCATACCTGAGGATGTCTGTAGGAACAGACGAAAGCTTGTAAAAAATTAAAAAGACTTTATGCAACTGGAATTTATAAACGAGGATCATATCATTCATATACAGGTTCGGGGTTGATGTATCTTATTTATATTGTTTGCGATGATGTATTCTCGCCATTTAAATCTTTAACCTCTATATTTGTTTTTTGTATGAATGATTCATGAATTTATAAATTATATTTGCACCTTTTAATTGAAATATATATATATATATATATATATATATATATATATATATATATAATCATTTCATCACAAGCAAGGCAATAAAAGTCACTAAAACGCAAGGGGTTATTAAACATTAGAGAATATGAAGAAAAACCCTATTAAGGTAAGAGAACAATAACAGGTTAAAAATTAAAAGACATAAGATAACAGTTGATGCCGCATTTAAATTTTTACGAATCAAAGTTGACTGGAAAGCGAGAAGGCGTCAGTGAGTTCCAGAAGCAAGAAGTGCAATATCTATTAAAAAAATATGATGATAGAGAGTTCCACAGGCGAGAAGTGTGACAGAAGAAACTGTTAGCATAGAAATTGCGGTTGCATCTAGGCATTTCAAATGTAAAATGATCAGACTTAGTCACCAATCAAGTACTGTGCTTAAATTCATAATGTCTAAGAATGATAGAAGAAAGTTCATCAGAACAATTAGCATGGAAGTATTTATAGAAAATGCACAGGGAAGCAATGTTACGATGATGGGAAGGTGACTGAGATGCCAGGTAAGGACCAATAACATTGCAGATTCTTCATTTTCAAGAGTATTTTTCATTAAACGTCTCATCCTAAGCAAGGCAATAAAGCCACTAAGACACAAGAGTTTACTATCTGTGAGAGAATATGAGAAAAGAAAAAACATTATTAAGGAGAGGGAACAATAAAAGAACAGGAATTAAGAAGACAGAAAATAACGATTGCTATTTAGCTTTTGAAGGTCAATGTTGAAGCAAGAAGCTGATAGAGAATTCCACAAGCGAGAAATGTGAGAGAAGAAACTTTTTACATAGAACTTACGGTTACATCTAACCTTTTCAAAATGTTGGGATTTAGCTGTCCATCTAGGACAGCGCTTAATTTTTTTATAAAATCTTGCTACCAAAGAGGAAAGCTTATCAGAATAATTACCTTAAAAATATTTATAGGAAAGGCATTGGAAATCTGATAAAGCTGTGGAGAAAATGACTCGAACATGCGGAAGCAACACTGAAAAATGATAAACCTTGATGCAAAGAAACTTAACCCTTCACTGACTGAACAAGACTGACCCTGGCTCGAATGATGTTCACCTATTTACGGTCATCATGTGGATTAATCACGCCTTTTGGTCCCTTACCTTGGCTTGTTCAGATTGGAAGCAGTTAAGTGTACAATAACTGTTCATTCGACTGATAATCGTCAAAGTAAGCGACTCGTTTTTTATGTCTGTCCATATCTGATTTGCGCTAACCGTAAAAACGTTCATTCTTTTTGTATTTGTTACCCTTCTGAACGCCTCGATTTTGTCGGATTAAGATTGAAACGCCAATTTTCTTTCTTCATGCATGGACAGACAGAAAACAGAAATAAAATGTCCATATTTTGCTCTTCATTCGTAAAGATATGACGTCGACATTTTGATAAAGACTTCGCGGTCATTTTTGAAAGGCTGTCTGAATTGATTCTTGTTTAGTGTATAACATCTAATTCAGTTAAACAACTGGAACACCTGTGCTATGAGTAGTGAATCCTTGTACATCAGTTCAACACTCAACATCGATACAAAATAATAAGTCTGCTTGTTTCTTAGTTATTTAGATTTTATTATTTAGCTTTTTAAGCCCAGATAGAAGAAACTGCATACAACTTACAGTTACATCTCGCCATTTCAACTGTAAACTGACGAGACCTAACTTCCAATCTAGTACTGTGGTTAAATACAGAAAGTCTAGTATCAACATGGTGCATCATCAGTCCTATTATCGCATGTGGTCTTAGGGTTTTTTGCGTAGCTAAACAGCTGACCAGTTTCCTTCGTATATCTGGGACAAGTATTTACGGCGTGTCTTGGACGAATAGACCTGGTGAAGTCGATCTGTCTTCAAATCAAACCACAGTCCATGTCCTCCAACTTGACGGGTCATCTTCCTCACATTCACAAGCTTTAGAGATCACGAGTGCTGCTTCCTTATGGACGAATCAGAAGCGAATAAATTGGTTCCCCCACCAGGCTTTTTTGATGAGGATCTTATCGGTTCTGTGCCTTGTTATTGTTCTCTCTCCTTATGTTTTCTTTTTTTTCTTTCATATTCTCTCATACTGAGTAACCCCCTTGCGTCGTAGTGGCTTTATTGCCTTGATTGTGGTGAAATGCTTTTTTTAAAAAAAGTCCATTATTCATTAGAGGTGAAGATCAAAGTTGGATTCCCCGATGGATTAATTTGAAAGTATTTATAGAAAAGGCACGGCGAAACAATATTATGATGGGAAAGTGACTGATGTCGCAATGCCAGGTCTGGACCAATAACATTGCAGATTCTTATTTTCCAAGCGTATTTTTATTAATCACTAGCAGCATGGCCCGGCGTTGCAGGTGCTTGATTCAAAAACCGTATGACTCATACAGCAATCGCTATCACTTGACTTAAAATATTTTTGCCCCTCCTTGCCTTTAAAGGAGTGCCCTTTGCCGTGCTGATGTTGCTACATGCCTTACTTCTTGCCCATCTCACACTGAGAATTTTTTCTAAGCTCTATGCTAAACATTAAGTCTGTTACGAAAAAAGAACTAAACAAAATGAACACAAAACGATTAGCTTTAAAAAGGACTCGTAACTGGAAAACCGAATGAAAAAAGAATGTTAACAACAAATACTTTTTCACACCGAACCCAGTTCTGCGGAATCAGAATCAACGTTGAGTTTAAGCAAGCGAATGAGCCAATTGGAGTAAAGTGCCATGCAGATTTAAATTTTTCCCACTTGTGACGAATGCAGATATCGATTTTTTTGTATGCTAGCATGCTAGTTAACATTCATGTCAGTCAGCTGTTGGCTCTCACGCTGGCCAATAGAATCTTCCTGTCTATTCGTGGCAGCCAGCTGTTAGCTCTCACTCTGGCCAGTAGAAAATGGCCGCAAACTACATGAATCTGTTGCAGAAGCATGAAAAAAATCGATTATTTCCACTATCGATAGGAGTTGGGAAATGCAAAGTCGGTCTTGGCGTTCCCACTAACTTGGAGCATGTGCATGTTAATTTTGGTGCAAATCCGTCGAAAATTGCGGCCGTGCATTCGTTACACACACACACACACACACATCCTGCCTTTTATAGATAGAGATTTCATCCTAAGCAAGGCGATAAAGCTACTAAGAGACAAGGCGTTACTGAGCGTGATAGAATATGAGAAAAAGAAAAACTTATTAAGTAAAGAGAACAGTAAAAGAATAAGAATTAAGACAAGATAATGATTGACATGGCATTAGGATTTTGGAAGATCAAATTTGATTTTCAAGCAAAAAGTTGGAATAGAATTCCCCAAGCGAGAGAAGTGCAAGAGAAGAAACTGTTTGCATAGAATTTGCGGTTACATCTAGTCATTTCAAATGTAAAATGATGAGACCTTATCGCCAATCTAGTACTGCGCTTAAATTCATAAAGATAGGTACGAAAGAGGAAAATTCCTCAAAACAATTACCATGAAAATATTTATAGAAATGTGTTTATATATGTCGTAAATTTCAGAAACATGAAACAAAATCAGCATCTGTCGAAAAACGACTGAAAGTTTTATTCCAATCCAATGTTGATTGCAAATGAAGAAAAATTTAATTCTTGACATCTCCATTTGGCATATAATGATGTCAAAGCTGAATTAAATCTTTTTTTTCCATCAAGATGCAAGCATTTGGAATGTATCTGGCAATTGATCTATCGCGAAAAGAATTTATTTAAAAAAAAAAAAAAAAGGAAGTGTTTATCATCAAAATAAAGAAGTCGAATTTGAATAAGATTTTCTTTAATCAACGTAGCGGCGTTCGTAATGTTTTTTACACGAGTGACTGATGAAATATGTCCACAGAAAAAGCTCATTCAAATTAAAGAACCCGAATTTGAATAATGTTTTTCTTCGGTTAATTTGCTTGGGATTTTTAATGCGGTTGACAATTTGTTGCCGCATCCTTTCCGTTTGCGTGAAGCCTCGATCATATCGACATCATAACACAGAAAAATAATGATCACTGTAAAAGTTACGAATAACAAGAATGTGTAATCTACTTTTGACACTCATCCTTAAGCTTTTTGTATGTTTATAGCAGTTAAACTGATAACCGAAAGCGCATGTTCAAACCTCTTTGGTTACATATAATATTACTTATATTATACAGCCAGTTAAGTGCCATGCGTGATACACGCTTAGGTGATCATGTATCTTCCGATACATGACTGACGAGGCCGATTTTTTCCCGCAGTAGGTTGCCATTTTTTTCTGTGGTAAACCAGTTGCCATCCAAGGCTATAGAACTCGGTCTGTCCTGCTATTTAGCCATAGCTGGGGTGAGGGAGAAGATGTGGATTCATACCTTTCCCAACGTATACATATACATATTACTTATACTTATTACAAATATTACTCTTGTATGTAATACCTGATGGTCTCTGAATCGATATTAATGTTAGTAAGGAACTTTTGTTCTAAAAGAAGTTGATCTGTGGTGCCCCAATATATTATGGTATTTAAAGCTTGGTGTCTATTGTAGGTGGGTGTCTGTTAATATGTAAGTAATAAAAAGCGTACAAAAACTTGGATTTCCACTACAGACCATTTATTCTCTTATTTTTTTAATATAAACTGTGGAACAAAGTTCTCATTGTCTTTGGTGTATGTCTATTTTCTGTTTCTTGGTCCGGATGTTAGGGTAAGAAAATATGAGAATGGTTAAAATGCTTGAGCTCATGTCAGCTTTGCGTAGTGTTGGAACGACCAAAAATGCTTCTACCTTCTGGTATATCCGTTTTTTTTTTGCTTTTTTTTGTTTTTTTTCTGGCCCAGAAGTTAGGGTAAGTGAGGATAAAAATGGTCAAACCGGTTGGGCGTAAGTCATCCTTGCGATGAGTGCAATGTTTATACTTACTTCATCGGTGGAGCTCTGCGTTTGAAAGTGTAAAAGAAGGTTCAGTCCTCAATCGACCGCGGACGTCTTTTTTCACCCCCTCTTGCATTTTGGAGCAAGAAGAAGAAAAGAAAGAGGGGAGAGATATATTTATCTTTTTATAGACTTAAACAACGCCATTTAACGGGCGTTTGACAAAGACAAGTGGAGTAATAAAATTTCCAGTTCCTTTATTATTGACATCATGGAAAAATATATTTCTTTGTTTTACTATTCATTAATATTTTATTTATTGGTTTTATTTCATTTTTCAACAATATACTGGGTAAGGTCTATGACAGTCCTTGACAAACTGCGGTTCACATGATGCCCATTTGGCTTTCGGAATGCCACACCTAATTTAACGAGTAAAATAACGTTTATTAAAATTTTGTGTTTCATTTCATTCTCACTTATTCACTCACGTTCTCTATCATGGAAAGAGTCTATGACAAGCTGATGTCAAAGGGAAATAACTAGAAAATGCCCAAGTAAACTCCATTAGTTATTAATACCTGTTGTGTTTTAAGTACAATTCGACTAAAAGACAGACATAACAATGGTTGAGTACAATTTTTCTTGAATATTATAACTTTTTGTTGAAGGTAACATTCTCAGTATTTTGAACGATTGTCGATTTTCATTAAGGAAGTAGAAAGGGGAAGAAATATTTTGCTTTAGAAATGAGAGACGTACTTATAAATGTTTTTTTTTTTCTGTAGAGATTTTTCATTCTTTAAACAAATATTTTTTTTATTTTCAAACGATTAGATAAGAAACAAATATAGAGATAGATGCATAGACAAACAGACATGAAACGACTGGGATAGATAGATACACACATACATACATACATACATACATACATACATACATACATACATACATAGATATGAACAGACTCAAATCGATGTAGATTGATAGATACAGAAATAAATAGACAGATATATATAGAGATAGATAGATAGATAGATAGATATGAAACTACTTGTTTCATATCTATTATATATATATATATATATATATATATTATATTCATATATATATAAATAGATAATAAACAGACTCAAATAGATGTAGATTGAGATGCAGAAATGAATAGGCATATATATATATATATATATATATATATATATATATATATATATATATATATATATATAAATTGTAGTTAAATAAAACGTATTCTAACCTAAACACACACCAAAAAAATCTTTTAAATATACAAATATAAAAAAAAAATGCCGTAGGAATTTTTGCCGTTACCAATAAAATTTTAAAAATCCAGACGACATGCATTTAACGGATGTCAGATTTCATTGAAGAATACATCCCGAACCCCTACCAAAACGTAACTAATAACGGATACATCAAAATACAGATATAATGAACACGCAAACACTCCTTGTCTGGTTGAAATGGATTTCTCGGTATCCTTGGAAACGTGAATTTTGATTTTTGCTGTCTTTAA